CTTTAAGGTCCAAAACACTACATGGATTAAGCAATAATCACTCAATCCATAAGGTTACTTGCCCAAAAGCTCCAAAAGAGTCTCTAACACCAAACACATCATAAAAATCGATGCTTTTTAGACATGCATGTCCAATGCATGTCTTGAACCCTTATTAGGCCAAAAGAAGGCAAAAAGGCAAAGATTCCATGCATGACCTCAAAACTCAAATCTAATTCAGATCCAAAGAGTCAAATGCTCCAAATCGCCTGGATATTTATAAAGTTGCAAGCTTTATGAAGTTCAACCTTTCCAAAGCAACAAGGCATAGAGAAAAGAGGACAAAATCCATATATCTATCAATTAACTCATCAAGATGGAGACTTTATACCTCCTAGAGATGCTTGAGGAAGATAAACTCCTGTATCTACGTTGCTTTGGACTCCCAATAAGATCTTCCACCACCTTCTTTCTTCATAAGCACCAAACACCCACACTTTAAGGCTAAAAACTCACACAAGGAATCTAGGGTTTGTAAGGGACGATTTAGGCAGATGGAGGCTGGTGGGAGGGAGGCTATGAGAGCTTAAGTAGTTTAAATAGGGCTCAACCCTTAAACTTTAGGGTTTTCTCCAACAACCGCCACCATGTCGTGGTAAAGAATCACCATGTCGTGGTGGGTCATTAAACTCCCGCGGCCAAAAGCTTACCGTCACGCCGTAGTGAGGCTTCACCACGTCGCGGCCTACAAAAGAAAATATCATACACAATCGAAAATTATTTCATACCTGGAATCGAGTGTTACATCTCTATAAATAGAGGTTTTGACTCTAATTATCATAGATTGTTACATTTATATATTTTCTCCTAAAAAAATTTATCTAATAGTTTTCAATCTTCATAATTTTAAAGTTAAATTATTGATATTTTATAAGTTGCAATTTTTTTTAAAGTTGTGTTTTTGGTCCCTTACATACTTTTTTTTTTATAGTTTTCGCTTTTATATAAATTGCAATGGATTCTCGGCCGCAATTCGTGGATTAAGTTAAATACTAGTTATATCAAAAGTATCACAATTAATGATTTACGGTCTAAGCAAAATGACATATCAATGAACTAGATTTTCATATTATTCTTTTGATTTTATAATATATAGTTGTCAACCATATATTAGGGGTGGAAAGTCTTCGGTCTCAAATAAAAAAAAACAAATAAAAAACAAAAAACAAAAACACAAAAATCAAACCAAACCAAAACCAATGTTGGACCAAACCAATTTGGTTTATGCTATGAGTTATGGTAGTGTGATGTTTGGACCAAATCAAACCGAATTATCAAATTTATTTATTTAATTTAATTATTATTAAATAAGTTATATTTCAATACTTCAATAATAAATTTGATCTAATGAATACGTATTACATTACACCTTGTCGAAATACCATATTTGGTCGCTTTTCTCTTACAATGTAGTGTGTATTTTGATTTTATATATTTTGTTGTTCATGGTTGTACACTTTAATTTTTTATACTTAACAACTAAGGAAAATTAGAAACGTATATTTTATGTTTGGAAAATTGAAACTTTAGACTTTATTTTTTCAACTTAAAATTTGGTTTTTTCGGGTTTCAAACCGAATTATAATTCGATTTTTTGTCTGGGTAGCATTGAATTTGGTACGATTTAGTTTTCGGTTTGGATTAAAAAAAGTCAACTCGAGGAAACAAAAAAAACCATAAACCCAATTGATTATCATCCTAATTAACATTATCCTAATTTATAATTTATCAATTTGATTCAGGAAAATCTTACCAAATTTAATAGAAAAATAATGTATTTTTGGAAATTTAAGGTGCTATATAATATACATAATGGATAATTAAAATGGTAATATATATTTTCGATTTGTATATATTTGGTCATTGAGTTTTTTTCGTCCATGTTTACCCATTTAACTTGTTAAACTGTACACATTCAGTCCTTATGAACGACTACTTCAGGTTAGCCAGGAAAAATGTCTCAGTAGGATAACATATTTTTCACTTTTTACACATTTAGTGTTTCATATTTTTTTACACATTTAGTCTTTAATATATATATATATATATATATATATATATATATATATATATATATATATATATATATATATATATATATATATAAGAGGGCTCATGCGAAAATGCAAATAATTTGCAAATACACAAAACAAGGAAAACTTATGATATTGTGTTACCTCAACCTTATATTTTGAACAAGAATTCATCCAAACTTTGAACTACATGATGATAATCAATTATAATGAGAAATTGTTGCATATTAGCAAAGCATGTTTTCTAACATTATTATTATAAAAACTTGAATTTAAAAGTGGTTAAGGATGTGAAAAAAAAACGGTTGTTAAAACCACTATCAAATATGTATTACCATAACACCCTCCAACGTAAACTTATTATCTCTAATTTATTGCTAATAAATTTAATTTCTAAAGTACATGTGTTTGATTTTTATAAGATAAAATATGTTTTCATATTTTCGCAAAATATTTATGTTTCGCATTAACCTACTTGTATATATATATATATATATATATATATATATATATATATATATATATATATAGAGAGAGAGAGAGAGAGAGGTAGGTTCAAATGTTTCTCACATCTATTGTGTGCTAGAATGCACCAATAAAAATTTAGTATTAATTATATGTATATTAAATGTTATCCATACTTATAATTCATTTGTATGGAAACTAATTAAATTCGTCATTAATGTCAACAATAATATTCTTTTAGAATGAATTCATATCTAAAAGAATGAGAGTGTATTCCAGCAGAATGAGAGTGTATTCTAGTAGAATACACTCTCATTCTTCATATTTCATGCAACTTTATTGTATTTTAAGTGAGTGAGTCCTAAAACAAAATACGAACTCATATATAAAAACCTAGATGGGAATTTATTCTGAAAGAATGTTATTGCTGACATTAATGGCGGATTTAATTAGTTTCCATAAAAAGAGAATTATAATTATGGATATCATTTAATATACATATAATTATGGAAATTATTTCATATCTATATTTATTTAATTAAATAATTATTTAATTTACTAAATTCTTATTGGTGCATTTTAGCACACAATAAATATAAGAAACAAAATAACCTAGCCGTATATATATATATATATATATAATATATATATATATATATATATATATATATATATATATATATATATATGCAAAATATCTCTTTGTTGTTTTTTTACACATTCAATACTTATAAGCAATTTCTTTAGATTTTTCTCACGACATTCTAAATGGGACAATCAATAATGATGTGTTCGGGGTTGTTAACGTTTATGGTCACCGCGGCTTCGGTTGCTTGGTTTCCTAGGTTTTGTGGTTTGACTTAGGTCTTGTGTTTTAAACGTCATAACTTCTTCATACGATCTCGGATTTTAACGATCTTTATATCAACGTGTTCGTATTTGGGTCTACTACAAGTGTGGTTTACATTACCCGTTAAAAACTAACATATTTTTACTTACGATCGTTAAAATCTGAGATCGTATGTAGAAGTTACAACGTTCAGAACACAAGACCTATTCCGAACCACAAGACCTAAATAATCAAGCAGCCGAGGCTGCGATGGTTGATGGACATAAGCATCAACAGCCCCAAACACCTTATTAATGATTGTATCGCATAGTATGTCGTGAGAAAAACCTAAAGAAATCAGTCATAAGTACAGAATGTGTACAAAAACAACAAGGATTTATTTTGCAACAAAAAGATATTAAGGGCTAAATGTGAAAAAAAAATATTAAGGACTAAATGTGTACAAAGTGAAAAATATATTACCCTATTGAGTCATTTTTCTCGACTTATCAGGAGTAGCCGGTCATAAGGACTAAATTTGTACATTTTAACAAGTTGAAAGAAGTAAATGTGTGCAGAAAAAAAAATTCAATGACTAAATGTATACAAATCAAAAAATATATTCATCTCATAGATGAGTAACAAACTATATTTTTCATTATTGTTTAGGAAAAAAAAATCATAAAAAAGTAATTTAAAACGTATTATACAAAAAATACCATTAAAATGAATGTTGTTCATGAAAAAAAAATAAAGTTAAGTTAGATAGCTTTTAATAATATTTTTCTTAAATATATATATATATATATATATATATATATATATATATATATAGTTTACCAGTGTTGTAAAAATTCGGACTAATTTCCGATTAATTTGTATGAGGTACACGACTAATTAGGTGACACTTAGCGGTTAACCCATGCCTAGATATTTAGTGAAGTTGACGAAACCGATGAATTTTTAACATCTTGAAAAAGTTCTACCTCAATAAAAATTATCTAAGGAAATATTAATATTGTATTAGTCATATTAACTTTATTTGTTATCATATTAATCGTATTTACCTATTTTGTTATGATATTAGTTATATTTATTTATTTTAAAAATAATGATTTACAATTTATGATCCCGATTAGTTGTTGATTAAAAAGGTCGTTTGATATTTCTCTTATTAGATCTAATAAAAAGTTGAGTCTGACTCGGTCATATTCATAATCAATGACACTATGATAGCACACTTAGAAGTCTCTAACTTAGTTTTGGTTCCTCTAAATCTCTCTTAATCGGTCAGATTCATGAATCCACTAATTCCCAAGTAGACCGACCAACCTCTAGTCATTAATCAACCAACTCGATACCTGCCTAACGACTTTTACAACATCGCCATTTACTCATTACTCGTTTACGACTTTAACTGCAGTATATATTGAGACACATACATAATTTTGATTTTCTTCATTTTCGGTAAAGAAAGGAAAATAAGAAACGCTATACAAATAAATATATAACACTTTCATATATTATAAGACCCGACCCAAATAAAGTCGAATCAAACGGACCTGTTCCCAAATAATTCCCCCACCCTGTACCCAGATCATACAATTAGTTATAGTTTAACGGCCGATATCGTCTCAAATCTTCTGCAGTTTTGCAGCCTTGATCACCGGATTCGCCTTGGTGATGGCTTCCCTCCCCATGGTCTTGTAATCGAAGGTGCATCCATGCTGCTCTGGGTACCTGTGGGTCCCGCAGCACGTGATTCCACACCGGCACGTGAACCCCGTCAGACCCACGCGCCGATTGCATTTCGCGCACCTGTTCCGCGGCTGTGATTTTACAGCCACCTCAGGCACCGTCTTCACGACTACCAATGGATCGGAAGAAGGTGCTGTAGCTGGGGAAGATATGGAAGAAAAAGATGTTTCTGGTTGCTGAGAAAGGCTCTTCTCGATGGCGAGCTTGGCCTGTGACATATTTTGGTCCTTTAGGCAATGATCTTCGTAGCACTTGGAACAGAAGTTGAACGTTGTGGGGCTCCCAAGGAACCCGCAGTTATTCGCACACGGTGTGTGATTGCTTGCTTCTTGCCAATTCTGTTCCTCAGCCATTTTTTCCGATCAAGGTCTTGGGCCAAAAACGCACCGAGAAGATACCGTGAGCGATCGATTTAGTTTCAAATCAATCGCTCGGTCACACCAGATTATAAAAACCTATGGTAAACAAAACTGAAAATCAAATCCAAAACGAAAAACAAAACCACATATCAGATATGATTGGAGAAACCCACCAGAATGAATGACGTACGAGAAGTTGCAATCCGGAAGGAGATGAGAAGATGATCGATTTATGGGGATGGGGGAGGAAATATAGAAAGGTGAAGTTAAGGTGTTTGTGAAAATGTCTAAAAAGGAAAGGAAACAAGGAATAAACGGTGGTGGTGGTGTTGGGATACGTGGTTATAGGAAGATTCCAAGAGATGTCTTGTGTGGTGGGGTAGAGTTATGAATTCCTCAAAAGTAGGGAGCCTTTCTTGACTTTCAATTGTCAGTTCCAATTTCCAAATACATACATGGTAGTATGCATATAATGATATAATAATAATAAATTATTTATTTTATTGTATTTGCATGAAAATATATTTAATTTTATTAGAAAGAACAATAAGAGGAATTTTGTAATTGACTACCAAATGACTATATATTATTGTCGTATCTAAGATCATGTTTAATGGTATTTTTTGTGATTTAATTAATATTTTAACAACTATTCTTTTTATTATTGGAGATATATCTTATTTTTTAGTTATTATTTATTAATTAATGAATATACTATTAGATTATCGGTGTGGTCTCATCGTACCTATGCTTATTTGGACCGCAGCAAGATGTCGTGAACACTGACCTCTCCTCATTTCACCACATTTTTTCCACTTCCATAGTAAGAACTCGTCGCACTCTTTCCATCCCATTTTTTAAATTCTAGTCGCTATAAATAACTTATACATTGGTTTAATTGTTTTTCCCCCTATAAATAGGTATATACCAACTAAACTAACATTTTTATCCCAACTCAGTCGCTCTATTTTACAAAAAATTAACTCTCTATTTCTTTCGGTGGTAAATTCACAAAGATTATTATGTTTTTACAAAAATTTGAATTTAAACTACTGTTATTTTTTGTTATAATTTAGTTATCAAGTTTTTTAATTTTTTGCAATGTTGACCACTTAACTGTTGGGGTATGAAGTCGTGTCCAACACGGAGCACATAGATCACAATAGAGCAATTAGGGTTCATGGAGCATGTGACAAAGGAATGGATCATTTGAGAAGGGAATGAATCATCTGACAAAGGAACAGATCAAATGTCAAAAGGAACGGATCATATAAAAGGGGGTTTGGAGCACCTGGAAGAGGTTTGAAGCACTTGGGAATGATATGGAGCAATAAGGGGACCTTGTTGTGCCATCTAATAAAGGGGTGGGCCAAGAAGGATGTTGTTGCGCCATAAGCATTCCTTCTTGCGCCATGTTGCTCCCTTTTGCGCCATGAGGTATCCTTCTTGTGCCATGAGGTATCCCTCTTACGCCATAGAGTACATTGTTGTGTCAAGCATGTTCTTGTTGTGCCAAGGTGGTGATGTTGCTCCAACTTAGAAGTTCTTGCGCCACACTTGAAGCCTGTTGCACCAACCTTGCACATGTTGTGCCATCATGGTGCAAGATGGGTCATTTTGTTTCCTTGATGAGCCATGGTATCCCTGATGAGCCAAGTATGCTATGAAGTCCTCTATGATGCTCAAGATCGTTCAAGGATGCTCATAAGTTGGTGTTGCTCAAGGATTACACCATGTTGTGCCACCATGATGGATGTTGGGTCATTAGTGTTCATGATGCGCCACTTATACATCATGATGCTCCACTATGGCACAAGGTGCTCCATCATGTGTGTTGTTGATGCTCATGGGTTGTATGACATGGAAGAATGTTCATGAAGATGTATGGAAGAATATGATTGGTTGTCACCATTCATGGGTCTATGGGCCAATGGGCTTGGCCCATTAGGGTTTTAAGTCTGATCCATCAAGTATAAATAGGCTCATACATCCATCACTGTAAATAGCTAGATTTCTGTGAGAGCTCAAAGTGAGATATAATTTTGAGTGTAATAGTTACAGAAAGTTAATAAAAATCCTCTCTCTCTCTCTCTCTCTCGTTTGCCCGTGGACGTAGGTCATCTTGACCGAACCACGTTAAACATTGTGTTCTTTTGATTTATGTTTTTTTCGAAAGATTTGTGAGTTCACCGAAGTTTGTTTTTTGATATTTGTCTGAAGTGCTTAACTTGTTTTGTTGTCACCTAAAAAACTGGTATCAGATTTGTGGCTGAAGACGGGAGAGTTAAGATCGAAAAATTCAATGGGCACGATTTCGGTTTCTAGAAAATGCAAATCGAAGACTACCTCTACCAGAAGAATTTACATGAACCATTGTCCAAAAGTAAACCTGAAGAACTGAAGCAGGAGGATTGGGAATTGTTAGATCGGAAGGCACTTGGTGTGGTGAGATTATCCTTGGCAAAAGAATGTAGCTTACAAAATTTTCAATGTGAAGACTACTTGTGAGTTGATCAATGCACTATCCAACATGTATGAAAAACCTTCAGCAACGAACAAGGTTCAGTTGATTCGACAATTGGTAAATTTGAAGATGAAGGAGGGTGACTCAGTGACTGATCATGTTAATGAATTTAATTCAATCCTATTAAGGTTGATGTCGGTTGATATTAAATTTGAAGATGAAGTCATGGCATTGCTATTATTATCATCTTTTCCTGATAGTTGGTCTAGTACAGTGCCATCAGTTAGCAGCTCAGCTGGGGGTGCTATGTAACGCCCGTAGATCTGGGCTAGTCAATTTAGAGATAATACAAAAGATTATTTAGAATAAATAATCTTAACCAGGTTGTAGAATATGTCTCAAGGGTTCCGTACATATAAAGAACGCCGAAATCCGAGTTATAATGAAGAAGTTATGGTCCGTCGAAGTTTTACGGCAAAACCGGCACAACACCGGGAGACGTAAATAGTGAATTTTTGATAAAGGAATTTTTAGCCTTAGTGATCTAAATAAAAGTTGTAGTATACATTAAACCGAGAACATACAAAAAAAGAACGCCCAAATCTGACTTCGTATAAGGAAGTTACGAATTTTCTAAGATTTTGGCATAGCAGTGCACGACCCGAAACTCGAATTTTAGATCGAGCGGTTTTTGGCCTACGCGACCTAAATGATAATTTAAGATCTCATTAATAGGAACTCAACGGTAAAAAGACAGACGAAAACAGAGTCCGTATGTAGAAGTTATGAATTTTACGCGGACATTTAACAGTATAATCTCCTCGTACTGTTAAATTTAACATCGGTCGAGAATTAGCCGACAGAGTCAAAATGAAAGTTGTAGATCTTATTTTTACCTACGCGTGGATATAAAGAACGTCAAAAACGGAGGTCGTATGTGAAAGTTACGGATTTTAGAAGTCGGAAGTGTGCTGTGCGAAAATGGGTGATGTGGCACAATCTTGGCCATTGCTTTCTCCCCAAGTCTTGCCACTAGATGGTGACATGTGGCACCAAGTTCAGCCATTTTTCACCCTATAAATAGAACCTCTCACACCCTCATTTTCTTCACACCTTTCCCATTCTTTCTTCTCTTTACTCTCTCTCTAGAACCTCTCTCTAGCCCCGAAACCCCCCGAAAAGCCTAGGGAACCTCCCTAGCACGAGGCGGAAGCCCCGGAGTGCTCGACGGCTCCGAGAAGAAGAGCTTTTTGGCTCGGGAACGCTGCTCCAAGCAAAGCCCGGTTTTCTATAAAACCCGCTGTAAGTGAGCTACGCCTACGCTATTTTTAATATATCGTTTATTTAATTATAGTAGCGTTATTAGGAACTTATAATAAGTACTTGGGCTATTATTATGGGTTATATAAGTATTGTTTAAAGCTTATATAATAGTAATAATAGCTAGACTATTAATTAGTCTTGGCGAATAATAGACTAAACTCTAGTGGTAATAATACTAGGTTTCGTCGAAGGAAATTATTTTTAAGAAGCGAAGCGCTGTCTGAGTTCGGATTCACCACCTTTTCAAGTGAGTGCATAGTTACTTTCATCTTACACATAGATATGAAGTATTTTAAATAAATTACGTGCTATGTGTGCATATTATCTGTATACTTATTATCTATGCTAGATGAACGATTTTATACATGTTTTAAATGATTTTAAATTGTATATATATATATATATATCTACGAGAATATGTTGGGTAAAACATGGGTAGATGTAATAGATGGAATATGAGTTGGATGATGAGTTGAGAGGTGTTATAGACCACGAGGTAAGTGTGAGAGGTGGACGATGTGAGAAGCCTTTCCCAAATGATGGCCCCGTCATCTAGCAGAGTATGGATGACAACCACGGACTATTCTAGACAGTCCAGTGGAACACTGGCAGGCTCGCAACCTGTAGGTGTTGTGAACGATGTGTTCACCGATGTACTCTAAAAACCCATTGACATGTATTGCGAGTGGACTCTCGAAAACGATACTACGAGATAACCCTAGCAGCTATGCTCGAAGGACAATACTGGTAGTTGCGCCTCACATAGAATGTCACAATTCTGGCAGCTGCGCCTAAGTGATAGAACTAGCAGCGCCTCAAGGATTACACTATGTTGTGCCACCATGATGGATGTTGGGCCATTAGTGTTCATGATGTGCTACTTGTACATCATGATGCTCCACTATGGCACAAGGTGCCCCATCATGTCTTTTGCAGATGCTCATAGGTTGTATGACATGGAAGAATGTTCCTGAAGATGTTGCATGGCGTAATATGATTGGTTGTCACCATTCATTGGCCTATGGACCAATAAGCTTGGCCCATTATGTAACATCCTGTTTTAAGTCGATTCATATTCGGGACCGTAACCCGAATATATGTTACCAGGAGGCTTCAGATCTTGGGGAAGAAAGGTTTAGATCCCTTTGAGTGTGGGTAATAAAGCTTAGATCATCTGAGAGTTTGGTTTGTGTTTTTGGAGACCAAGGGTATATCGGTAAAGTGGAAGTTCAGGCTTTTTATGGAAATAGATTTTTATTTGGAAAGTTTTATGGCAAGGGGGAGTTGATAGAAAGGTAGAGCTCTTCGAGACCTGTCCGTGGATATAAAGAACATCGAAAACAGAGTTGAAACGAAGAAGTTATGGCCGTTTGAAGTTGGAGTGGTTCGGGTGAGTGATCGTTGACTTGTTGACCAAGCTCATTTAAGGCTCATGACGTGAGCATGAAGTGCTTACGACGTGAGAGGCACCTGATGCCCAAAAACCCTTATTTTCGGGTATTTAAAGGTATGATATGATTAGGGTTGCTCCTCCTCAGCCTCTTTCACTTCCAAGACCTCTGGAAACCCCAATCTCAGCCCTCATTGAAGTTCTTGGTCATTCTTGGTGTTATTCAAGAGCTTTTGGGAGAAGAAGATCATTTGTGGTGCATTTGTTATCATCTTGGCTTCATCATCGGCTAGTTGTGGAGCTTTTGGACCTTTGTAAGTCCTCAGGCTCATGCCTTTCCTTTCCTTTCCTTGCTTGCTAGATCCAAGTTTTCGTGCATATTATGGCTTGTAATGTTGGTTAGCATGCATGGGATCCATAAAGTTTGCAACTTTATAGATCATGGTGGTATCTTAAGTCTTATAAGTCTTAGATCTAGATTTTGGTCATGGTTTTGGACTCCAAGCTTGAGTCTTGGTCCTTTTCCTCCATTTTGACCTAAGTTGGTGTTTGAGTCATGTATTGGACACACATGACTGAAAAGCTTCGATTTTTATGGCCCTTGGGGTCAAGGAAGACCCTCTAGACTGTCCTATGTTAAGGCTTAATGGATTAGGAGCTTAATGCTCATTTTTGGT